TAACTACCGCATTGAATCACTGTAAATTTCAATAAGTTCTTTCCTTCACGGACTTCGCATGTTTTAACACCTCGTCAGTCTGTGTACATTTGTTCTCTGATGCGAAAGTTATTGCCGATTTGAAGTAAAATGAAAAAAGGATATTTCTGGATTAAAGTAGTGGCAATTGAAGCGGTTATAGAAATGCTGAATACGATGCCATTTATTACTTACGCTCCTCCGGTCTATTTTGGAACCTTAGCTGGAGGTGATTTTGCGCTCCTGCTTAGATGTATTGGGCAATCTTAATACTTACAGCATTACAGTTTGGTCTTGTGGCTGAGACCATTGTGCCATCTGTCAGGTGACAGTTTTGTCTCCTTTGATGAAAGGATATTGCAAGATATCATGCACCCGCTTCACACAGAAATACCAGTTTGCTGTTCTCCGAGTTTCGCTACATGAGAAAACTTCATCATCCTATAAACAACTGTAGTTGTACAGAAAATCAGCGGCGCTACATTTAATTCGTACCTTCCAGAATTTTTTCGCATTAAGTATCGTCTCTTGCTTCATAAACTACTGCGTAATAATCGTCGTAAATAGGTGAGTGTTGGCAGCAGAACGCCACATCTTCCTACATAGCATCAATAAGACTGAACCGATCTTCTGCCCTATTTCAACTGATCTACTAGATTAGATTTTAAGCTAATTATACCTTAACTGTTCGCAAAATGGGCAGGCCAATCGAGGCATATTTTTCGAGGCAACCCTCTGTGGCTGACCCTCTCTGACTGTTTTCTATCGATCATGCTAATTTATTGTTTAGCAGTTGACTCGCTGTGTCGGACAACTGCGGTTATTGAACGAAAAATGTCACGAGCGAACGTGGACGGCTTTGGAGTCATTTTCGATTATTTTTGATTTTGCAGATTCAGAAGAACCGGTGTAACCGGTGCATGGTATGGTACTAATTATCCAGCGTTCGAAAATTGGTCGTTGATTTGCGGAGGTGTACTTGGCTGTCAGACATATGTAATTTTGCCAACAACACGTATCAGATGTCAGACGATCTGTGACTTATTCTCTAATTTCACTGCGATCGGCTGGCCCGTTAATCTTGCAAGAAGTGCTAAAGCAGTGATGTGCGTCGGCCGGGCGAACGAGACGACGACGACGACGACAGCGACGTAGGTTGACATGAAACGACGTCGGCAGCAGTCGTGCC